TAAGGTGAGCTATGCTGACGTCACATACAGTTGTGTCCTTGATCTCCTCTCGGTCCGTGTACTTTTTCAGTAGGTTTGCATGATAGGTTTTAGTCTTATTACCTACCTGTATCCTGTAATTGCCAATACCAAAGGCCTCCAAGATTTCATATGGTCCTTTCCACTGGAGTAGGAGTTTGTTGGAATCAGTAGGTAACAGAAGCAACACTTTTTCACCTACTTTCATTGGTCGTGCTTGTGATTTTGCATCAAAGAACTTTTGTACTTACCTGATTTTTTTTTTAGTTGTTGTTGTGCTATATGAATAGTGTCTTCCAGTCGGTTTTGCAGATCTAACACATACTCATAAGCAGTTCTTACCTCAGGATTTTGTATGTCTTTAGTCCAGATTTCTCTGAGAATCTGCACTGGCCCTCTCACTGTACGCCCGTACAGTAGTTCAAAGGGAGCAAATCCCAACTCTCTTGAGGTAATTCTCGGTATGCAAATAACAAAGCAGCTACATACCTGTCCCAGTCATATGGCCGTTCTGCACACATTCGTTTCAACATTGTCTTCAGAGTACCGTTGAATTTTTCCACAAGGACGTTACACATTGGATGATATGGGGTAGTAGTTAGCTGATGCAAGGATAATTATCTACTTACCTCCTTCATTACACCTGAAGTGAACTGGGCTCCCATGTCCGTCAAGATCTCCTTGAGGATACCTACTCTACTGAATATTTCGAAAAGAGATTCAGCAACATACTCAGTTTCAATCCTTGGCAATGGTACTGCCTCTGGGTATTTGGTGGCATAGTCAACTACCGTCAAAAGATACCTATTACCTTTGTCAGTGACAGGATACAACGGGCCTATCAGGTCAACGGCTATTCTCACAAATGGTACTTCAATTAATGGCATTTGTCCTAGTGGTACTCTTCTTACCTTGCCCTTGGGGGTTGTGCGTTGACAAATATCACAGGACAGCACATGTCTTCTAACATCACCCATTATTCCTGGCCAATAAAACTGAGACATAACCCAATCTAAAGTCTTCTTGATTCCAAGGTGCCCTCCCATCAATGCTTCATGGCTTACTTTCATCACTTGGGTACGCAGCCCTACTGGTACCACTGCCTGTAGAACTTGCTTACCCTTGTCAAACTTGGTGAAGGTATGCTTCCTATAAAGCATATCATTCTCAATATAGTAAGAGGAAGTACTATGCCTTGTCTCCCTAATTTTCCTTTCCTCCACTAATTTTCTGACTTTGTCCAAACTGGAATCCTGTTGCTGGGTAATGAACTCACCTCGACTAAATGTCAGCCCCACAGGTTTCAGTGCCTTCAGTGGTTTCATGCCTTCTTGTCTTACTCTTCTTTGGCCTCTTGTTTCCACAGCACTTACCATCTGGATATCATCCTTATCCCATGTCTGATCTGGATCGCTTGGTTCTCTCACTCCTGGAATATTGCCTAATATCAGGTCACAGAGTGGTGTGTCCATACATGCAGCTCTTACCTTTCCTGTATAAAAGGGTGTGTCCACGGTAATCCATGCTACGGAAAGTATTAGGACCCTGCTATCAGCCAACTTACAAGATTGTGTTTCTGAGGAAAAACATTCATCCTCTACCTTTGACCTCCTCACTATTACGCCAGTACAGCCACTGTCTCTCAGGACATCCACTGGCTTGCCATTTACCTTTCCCTTGTGAATAGGCATGTTGTGGTCTGTAGTAAACATGCTTCCTGAGGCTACATCTGGTTCACTCACCCTCTCTGAAGTTGTGGCATCGCCGTCTACAACTTCAGGTATTCTTGCCTCAACATCTGTACCATCTGGAAGGACTGCAGACACGTTACTGGTGTATTCACTTACTTGAATACTTGCCACGTTATATTTGGGTTTCTTACACTGTGCTGCCAAATGTCCAATTTGATTACAGTTGTAACATGTCCTTTCTTTAATAGGAATAAATGGTTTGGGTTTTGTACCACCTGGTGCCTTGTTCTCTCCTGGTTTACCTCGGACCTCTGTTTTGTCATGTTGACCAAAACTACCTTGCTTACCATATCTAACAGGACCTGTACCTCTGGCTTCTATAAATTGTTCTGCTAATCTGGCCATTTCCATAGCATCTTTTGGTTTTCTCTCTTTCAAGAATATACTAAGATCCCTTCCAGTTACATTCAAAATCTGTCCACGCAACAATAAATCTTTTACACCTTCAAAAGTCTTTTGAGTACCACTAAGCTCAATCCATCTGTTGAAATAGTTCTCAATTCTAACTACAAACTGTGTGAATATCTCACCTGTATCAGTTTTAGCAGTTCTAAATTTTTGATGAAATCCATCCTCTGTCATTGCATAGCGTTTAAGCAACGCAGTCTTAACAGCAGTATAATCTTCTGCGTCATCTACACTTAATCTGGAGTATACTTCCAAAGCCTTACCTATTAGTAGCGTACAAAGATATGCTGGCTTCCAACCTTGTGCTACAGCTACCCGTTCAAACTGTTGAAGATATGCATCAATGTTGTCATTGCGGTCTTCAAACAGAGGCATCTTAGGCATCTTAGGTGCAGCACCTGATTGTTTCTCTCCTACCTGTCCTTCATAATTTCCAGCATAACTCTTTTCTAACTTGGCTAATTCTATTCTCTCCTCTGATTGCACTCTTAATTTTTCTTTCTCCCATTCTAACTTTTCTCTCTCTTTTCTCTCCTCGAATTCTAATTTTTCTTTCTCCCATTCTAACTTTTCTCTCTCTTTCCTCTCCTCCAATTCTAATTTCTTGATTTCCTGCTCCTTTGCTCTTTCCTCTCTTTCCAACTTTTCCTTCTCTTTCTCTCTCTCTAACTCAGTTTGTTCTTTTACAAACGTCCTCAAATCATTTTGCTCATACCCTAAACTCTGACCCAATTTGATAATCTTTTCAAGATCCATATCTAGCTGTATGGTGATAGTATGAAGTACAATTACAGTTAAACCCAGCAGGCTTAGTCTTGGACAACTGTGAATAATGAATGCTACCAATAGGAACTTAGACCATACAAAAGTACATTCCTGCATAGTATTGAACACAAAAATATAAAATTCCAAACAATAGCCTAATCTGACCAATAAATGAAATACACCCTACCAACCTTGATTCTAACTCGTACACTCAAGGATGTAGAAGTGGTGCCGGAGGTCCTATCACACCTCTGGCCACAAAAATACTACAAGGATAAACCATCAAGGAAGTAACTCCTAATCTCTCTTAGAATGATGGTGAGTTAATTCAATAGTGACAATAATTAAATATCCCACCGCTGCCACCAAAATGTCACATATTGAATCAACCACAGACACAAATGAAGTTGTAATAAAGATTTATTCCCTCCCTTAAGTTAATTTTAAAACCCAATAACAATATTTAAATTCAAACTTATACCAAATTAACTAACACAACTAACTAAACTAGCTTCTCCTACAACTAACAATACTCCCATCTACTACTAATACTAATATCTTAATACTAACAGTACAAATGTCTACTACTAATAATACAACTATCTACTACTAACAATACAACTATCACGAGACACTATCCTAATACTAATAGTCTACTTCTAACAATACTTACACTAATATAGATGTTCTAAGAATAACTAATACACAGTAATAACTTTGTGTGTGTACATATATACAACAACAACACACAACCACAAAAAAAAACACCCCAAAAGATACAAAGCCACTCCACTGTCACTGTCACAACAGTTCTATACAGAACTTTGGAATCTCTGATGTTACTGAGCAGTTCACACGAGAATTCTTCCTCGTAATATCAAATGGTGATCTTTCCACCCAGGCGATGTTGTCCCCTGGCGGAGTTAAGGGGGCCTGTTTACTTGGATGCCACGGCTGTGTTCATCCTATGATGTGCACACGGAAACGGAGATACTTCTCTCCTTACATGATATTGGAGGTTGATACTTCCTCCTACGTAATATCGGAGGTACTTCTTACCTCCTACGTACTATAAGGTTAACCGGCCAGTTCCGGGACACTACAATATAATATAAGCAATTACAGTCACTGAGGTATGTGTCACTACCTCACCAATACTCCGATTTACATATTGCTGAGTTGAACTGTTTAAACTTTGATCATGTTGTGGTTATTGTTACAGTGGCTTTACGCTATTACAATCAATATGTGTATATAATTACATTTGAAAACAATACATAACTCAAAATTCTATCCTCTAAAATACAATTCTACATGAAACAATAAATGTAAAAACTTACGCCAACAAGAGTACAAGTCTCCCACAATGTTAGTCCATGCCTTACATGACCAAGCTGACTGTACAAATAATTACCCTGCCCCGCTATTTAAACTGATCCCAAAGCCCAAGCTACCTCTGACCTCCCTATTGTTACACCAATTAACTCCCCAGCTATCAGCCGTACTCAGTCACGCTTCCCTGAACCTAACCTGTTCCCATAGTATTACCTGACAATATCTAAAAACAACCCGCTAAGCTTAATATACTAATGTAACCATACCGTAATACATCTATCTGAAGTACTAACATATAATTAATAAATACAAGATTATCTGTGATCTTGACACACTCCTTATCCAGTGTTGTGATTTCAAACAAACCATTAAGACTCGGGATCTCATGCCAAAAAAAGTCGGGACATCAAGATAGAAATGAATAAATTTCTAGAATTTACATCAACAATCGGTCACGATGTCGTATTGACCAGAGTCTACCCACGAATATCTGCTTAAAACAGATGACGAACCTCTTAAATGTAGCCTTTTGATGAAAGGTTCACTCTCAAGCGTATTTTGCTTGAATATGTTTATTACTTAATATCAGAGCAGCCAGCCCACATCGTTATCCTAAACAATTTCGTATGAACCTGCATGTAGACCATTGCAGACGCGTCTGGTTTTTCATTCATGTCAAATAATTCAAAGGAATCCGTCGTGATACACTGTTTTATCATTTAGAACTTCCGGTATTTAATGAAATACCACAAGTAACTTTCGACTTGCTGGACAAACTTTACTCAAGTGAGTTATTATTCCGGTGCAACTTTACCCGTGCAAATGAAAGTCTGTCCTACAAGACAACCTGGTACCTCGAGGGAGCTCCGTTTTACACGTTTGAACCCATGGAATGGAATTCTGACGATTTCGATTACGTGGCCAACAGGACATTGACAGAAGAAATTCTGAGAGAGAACGGAGTTGCAAAGGCTGGATTTAATGTACGTGTAGTTCCTGTACTTCAATCTATTAAATTAATCGTAACCTAAATGGTCCAACGTGATCACGATTAAGTACATTGTTAATTTAGGCTGAACATTTATTAAGATATCGTGAGCAGCTTCTGAAGCCTAAGAGAAACATATTTAAAGGAAGGATTTCAATTCAAAAACGGCTATCATGTATTCATTTAGCGCGTTAAGGTGTACACGTAATTCAGGGCATTGCTGTATATCATATCAGTTTATCTAAATCTACATAAATATACATTATATACAATTGTCTGGAATGTCTGTGTTTGCGTTATGCCGCACTCAACAACATTCCACCTGTGTGAAGGCAGCCTGTAAATAATCTACCCAGCACAAGTCAGTTCAGTGATTGATTTATGAGATACGACCTTAGGTACGAAAATACAGAATCAATCAAGTCAGTGAGCGTTATCGCCTCGCACAACAAACATAGATAGTTGGGGCCAATTCTAAACTTTGAACAGTATTGAAATAGTATCACGAGAGCACAGGCTTATGTTCATAGTAGACTTTTACCACCTATGTGTACCTATAAATATGTAGCATGGTTCATATCTGAATCTGAGGGACAAATCCCAGGAATCCCACTTACATCTCCAGACTCTGAAAGTACATTACCTTACACTTATTCCAGCTGCAGTGTCGTGTTCAAGCACTATATGGTCTAGATCAGGCATCATCAAGTGGAGGATTATCAGAGGTCCAATTTGTTGGAGTGAAGATATGGGTATGTCATTCGGTGCCAGTTTGGCAATGAACGAAAACATATTGCAATACGAAATATCAATATAATGTCCACAACAAACCTATTTACTTATTGACCCTAATTATTTCTTTATGCTTATGAATCGGAATTCTTTTTGGATTGTCAACACACGGGTATCTTGACAAGAAGTTAAACTTAAATTTCAGATATACTGATGACCTGATATCATTTAATTATTGTCAAATAGCTGATGCCTTTCCCCTAATTTACCCACCTGAGCCAGAAATAAAAGAGATATTTAGATCCACGCGTAGATATTGAGGGTGACAAATGAAAGAAGAAAAACTTTTCCATGGTCAACTCTCACTTTATTGGAGCAGTATTCCAATGGAAACTGTTTCGCTGGATAATCAAGACTGCTTATTCTCTGGTGTTAATATTTGTATTGAATTCATCATTAAAGTATTTACCAAAATGTAACTATATCATTTGATTTCTGCAGGCATGGGACAATGTTCTCTACGAGGGCGAAACACGTACAATATATCTCCACCTCACAGTTCCATTTAGATGCGGCTCTTTCATAAACGACTTCGGCCTTCCTTGTTGGTTTGACATCAATGTACATCGGGTACAAGATCCTGGGGAATGTCAGAGTGCTGCAGTAGTGCAAAATTCGTGTGGCATAAATAGTATAAACTCGAGTCAGTGGAATCAATTGATATCAGTCACAGTTGTTGGGAAAATTACATCTACATATGGAGAAAATTCTGCTACGACGCAGATGAAGTTGAAAACTCCAAAGACAAGTTTTCATCTTCCCTTCTGGGAGGACTATGACATTGGAATTGTAACGGTATGACGCTTTCAGAGTAATATTATACATAATAACAAGAAACTGTTGATTCTTCATTCTTTAACCTTTGCCAAAAGTGAGGAGCGGGAATATGAATATATGGATTTATATGAAAAACTAATGTGTTAATTTCTCACGACGCGATAGTTAAGCCTTAGATGTGTTCTTTTTAGTATGCACAGAGAATATGTGGTTGCCTTTTATGCAAGAACTGACACTAATCTCAAGATACAAAATGAATATAACCATAATGAATATATGTTCATTTGTAAAACCAAGACAAAGTTCCTTTTTCTTGCAACAGTTCCAAATTGTGAAGAATACAACTCTGTATCAAAGTACATGGTGCTCTTCAAGCAATGATCCTTATGTACAAACATTTAGTTGGACGTAAGTATTGAGTTTATTTTAATACATGGTTTCGACTGACAGACATGAATGGATACCTATTATTTGTCAATGTGACATTGAATGCAAGGTCAGGCATACATTGAAATTAGTTATTAAAGCAAAACCTCAACATACATAATTACGGCCATGTATACTTACGGAAAAAGGTAACTGTACTTCATATTAAGTTTGAAAAATATAACTTTATTCTGAAATAAAATAATGCACCTTACATATTCATGAAGACATCTCCTTGAAGGTCGTGATTCGCATTTTACACGTGCATGTTAATGGCCATCGCAGAATATGGATGTTTGCAGGCTTCTTGGGATCATGATACTAACGTATGCAGTTTTTTATTTGATTATGAACAGGACACAGTGATTGTTTAGCTATCAGGTGCTCATAAAAAATACTTTTTTTACAACCGCAAATAACGCTTACGCAATGCCACGGCTTGCTGTAAATCAACGGCTACGCCCGTTGGTATGCTACAAACAGTAATGGCGCAAAACGAACTTGCCAGACACTTTAATGTTCGTCAAAACACAATATCATCTTTTTGGATACGTCATCTATATGTACAGCAAGATAACGCACATGACTTGCTACGCGCCGGTCGTCCCCGTGTGGCTTCGCGTCAACAAGACAACCATATCAGGTTGGTGCATCTACGGAATCGATACCAAACTGACACATTAACAACTTGGATAATTCCTGGGTTTTGAACAATAAGTGGCAGAACCGAACACAACCGGTTGAGGGAGCACACCATCCGGCCCCGACGACCCATTTTGCCCCCACGTCACCGTCAGACGTGATGTAAACAGAATCAGTGGTTTAGAAGACAAGTCTGGGACAGATGAGTCCAGTTTTCAGCTGGACAACCCTGATGGTCATGCAAATGTCTACAGGCGTTTAGCTTGGGGGTGGAAGTATAATGATGTGGTCGCATCACATCTCTTGTGAAGAAACACACCTTTTCATTGTTATGACAGTTTCAATCGCGTCTGCTTCCCGAACGACATCGTTCATGGACGTAACGTCATGTTGCAACAGGATAATGCTCGCTCACATGTTGCACGTGTTGTAACAATCTTTTGAGGCAGCATAACATTGCTGTACTGCCATGGCCGGCTTTTTTACCAGCCATCTTCCCCACAGAACATGTCTAGGATGAGACAGATCGACGCCTACGACATGACCCGAACCAGTCGTTAACGCCACTGAGTTTTGCCATTCTTTGGTTGACCTTTGGAACAACATCGTCTAGGCTGTTTTCAATCATCTGGTGTGTTCAATGGGTCAGTTCTGTCTCGACTGTATCACACAAAGGGTGGTCATACCAGATATTGACATTGTGAATCGAGTTGGTATACTACCCCTCTGAAAGGGTGTGTTGATCTTTCTCCTCTTTCTAGGTATGGGTTTTGTCAATGCATATGTTATTATAAAATATTGATCAGACGAATGAACAAATGTTATGTTGTTATCTTCAGTCACATAGCATTTACATCACTTAATATGAAGGACAGTTACATTTTTCCTTTAGTAATTTTATAAGCACATACAATTTAGAGTGAGTGAGTGAATGGGCTTCATACATTGTACCCATGTCGGGAATCGAACCCGGGTCTACTGCGTGACGAGCGAACGCTTTAACCACTAGGCTACCCGACCGCCCCATATACAATATAGAAGACGCATCGATGAAATACTCAAAACCTTTTATCCTATGAAGTTAATGGATCTGTCATGTTGACAAATACTAACGAAACTGTACTGCACGATAATTCAACGTACACCATTGTAATATTTCTCTCTACATTTACAGATACTTTTACTTGGATGCTGCCGGCATTTACACATTGTATAAGAATGGGGACGACATTGAGGTTGGTACAATGAATAATTGAAGTGTAGTTGAATCAAACATATGTTTGTATGTTTTAAACGATTAAGTTCATTAAGATATCCTTAAAACATAGCGCAAAATGTTCAGTTGATTGCTGGCTTTAGTTGCTAGTCCAATGTTTAGATCAGTTACTACTGTATAGATACATCGTAGATATCGCTGCAATGAAATTGTATCACAATGCTGAGCAGACCATTGTGACGTTATTGGTTACCATGACGTCACAATCATATGACATCACTAATGGCTCTGCTACTGAAGCTGTCAGCAGTACTTTTTACACTTAAGACACTGCTTATTACTGCCTAAAACTGGAAAAGGCGGCAAACTTCGGAGTTTTTCCACTTTCATCAACTCGTGTTGATATATTTGATATCAAAAGACACTCGGGTGAGATTCTCTACCTGCTAATTGTTTGCGTTGGTTGACACTAGAAACATTGGGTGAACTTTCGGCATGTTTCATACTTCCGTCATAAATACCTATTATGTACGATGCGGGGTGTCATGCCATATCATTTCCTATAATCTTTCGGTATTTTGACCTCACTGGTTTTCTAAAGTCAAACGTCACTTAATTGTTGGATATTGAGAGTTCTGCATGATAATCTCGCTTGATTCAGGTACAAATACAAACTGAAGAGTGTAACATGGACGAATTCTGGGTGGGACCCTACTGTACATGTGGCGTGGCGGTCCGAGCTGGAAAGACGGTGTTTGAGATCAGTCACTGCGAGTCCCTCACCTGGCACATCGGCTACACGGCTTGTGGGGATGACGGAGACGTGCTGCAAGTTAGGAGAGACTGGAATTATTACACGGTTGGTGCAATATCACTGCATCAAGAAATATATAAAAAAATGACCTGGTATGAAGTTTCATCCAGTTAACTAGATAGAGGAGACGTGCCGCAAGTTAGGAAAGATTGGATGTGGTACCTGGTTGGTGTTTTGGCTTATATCGCGGCATTGTGAAAAAAGCACAAATGAGCAGGAACGAATTTTACAAATATTCACATGGTGGCATCAAGCTCAGTGACAGCAATGTAGTAGTTTAGTATGGAGGCGTTTTCACTCAGGCTTAGCTCTAATCCTCAACAATGCTGTAATGTTATATCGTATATGGCTTTCCTCAGAAATTTTATGAAACATTTTGATCTATTTGCCGAAAAAATAGCACATTAAAATGAATAAATTACCATGTTTTATACATGTACATTTGATCCATATGTGATAAAAAATGTTCAGTAACATGGATTATATGTTTTACAATTTCAGATCTCTCTGCCAACTGGAAATATAGTAGACGTTTCAGTAACTACCTATGCTCCATATTTTCTGAACGTTTATATTACTTCTTCTGTTAATGATGTTGAGAAGAATCGTGGCATGTGTGGTAGTGTATCAACAACACAGAATGGCGACTTGATAAAGAGAAGCGGTTCTCTTGCAAATTCTACTGATGACTTTGCAGAATCGTGGAGGTATTAGTGTCTTTATTATTAATTATAAAATATGTTTTTCTTAGATGTTACCAATACCTTAAAATAGCTTGTCAACTTCGTCGTGCAATTCCATATGGATGGTGGTTATGAATGAATGATGTATGAATGAATTTAATTATGGTACAGGTGACGATACACATACCTGCATGCCCCCGATATACATCCTATAGATATATTCTTGCTCAAAGGTTGATCAGGGTTACAACACTTAAGGCCTCATCACAGTGTCAGAAAATCTCTGGTAGATGTCAGGCATCAGTGACAAAAATGATGTCCGATGCAATTCCTATTTTCACTTGTGCAATGTGTTCCCTTGTTGTTTGTTTCATGTGCAGAATTTAGTTGGCTTTGCATTTGTTTGTGACGGTGCCACTGTGGGGCAGGATAGTACGCTCACCTTTTCACGAAAACCTGGTATCATTCCTATTCGAAAATTATTCATACTTAGTTGTCGGAATCGTACAATCGACGAGAGAGAGAAGTTTTCCTTATGATTGTAGAAAGCGTTTTGTTATGAGAAAAAAAACTATGTACGACAGACTTCGAGAATGTCTTCCTCAGTGAAACAGATAACATACACGATGTGTTTACGAAACATAGCTACGGATATATTTCTCATTTCGAGATATTATTTAGGCACAAAAATGTTATTGATTCTGATACCATGCGGAAGCCTTGCCGCCAAAGTAGATGCTAGTTGTGTAGCTTTACATTTATTTCATGTTCTAGGGTCACTCCTGATAACAACTTGTTCAACCCTGAAGTCATAAGCAACGGATTTGCGTCCTATAAACCGCTTTTCCAATACTGTACTTGCGAACGTGAGACAGATCCTCTAAATCCTCTGACATGCACCGCCATGGCTGCCACAGAAACGTGCTTGGAACCAGATAATGTCGAAGATATCAAGCCGAAAAACTGCATCATATCAAAGAGAAAGAAACGCATGGCTCAACGCAGTGTAAAACGAATCAAAAGGGTATTGTATTTCGGTTTTTTATATTTTGAGGAAACAAATTCCTATTCAAGAGATACAAGTTACTCTAGAAACATTAAGAACAAAGATGTTTTGAATGTCATTTCAGCTAGAAAGCTTTAATCAGGCTATTTATTAATGCAATGCTTCAACGATTATTCATAAACACATTCGTATCATATTGTCGGAATACGCCAATGTACTCCTGCCATATTTCCTATGATTATGAAAAAATGATTTTGTCGCTTTCATTTAGATAGATTTTGTTATGTAACAGGTTTTCGATAATGCACAATTATATTTGTTCTTTTTCAATTTGGACGTACGTGTTTCAGCAAAGTACATCTCAGAAAGGATGGTCCAATGGCTGGAATTTGACTTTGGCACAAGAGTATTGTGATGCTCAGTTTTCCGCGGATCAGTCGGTGAAGGTGTGCGGAGACGTCCCTGGGGTCAACGTCGCCGACAGCATAAATGACTGTGTGAAGGACATTGAGGTTACTTATTATGTCAATTAAAACAAAAGGAGCACAAGAATAGAGGCATGAACACTTTGGAATTCCATGTATAGTATTACAAATAGAACCTGAAGAAGTAACATATAAGGTTAATTGAGCACCGACCATACCAGTTTCTGGGTAATGGGGGTGTTTGTTGGAGACAAATTATGTTTCGATCATTTCAAGACATTTAATTTATCTATCGAGTGAGTTAAAATTTAACGTCGCAAGGGATGAGCCAAACATTTGTTCCCTGACCCCAACACCTTTTTAGGAAGATTTCCAGTGAAACATATAATTAGTGGTAAAACCTAAGGCAAAATGACTCTTCAAGTATTCTGTGGAACAGTGTGTATTCAAAAATATTCTCGGGCGCTTTGTTACTCGCTAGGTGTACTTGGACAAACATAATATATCCATATGTATTAATGATTTATCTCTTAAAATATTATTGAATTTGTGACAATAACGAGTCAGAACAAATAGACCTTCCAAAGAGTCGACAATATAATTGTCTTTCTGTAAATACTCCATATATTGTTTTAGACAATAGTGAGACACAATGATTATCATATTGAAGGAGCAAAATGTTCCAAGTGCCCTGTGTGGATAAGGTAAGGATTAATAGTGTTCACTGAGGTGATCAACTACAACTGTCACCCAATTCATGTCAATTAAGTCACATACCCATAAAGAAAATGCTGATAATTCATGCATGTCTCTGTAAGTTTTAAATTGCCTACGTTTGTGAGGGTGTACATTTGCCATGTGGATCTGGATCTAATTAAATGAAGAGTGTCCGCCGTATAATGTCAAGATCACCATAGGTAATCCCAAACAAATTCTTATCGACGGACACAAACTACAATTATCACCACCAACACCTGATTGTTATATCAAACGCCAATGTCAATCAATCGTGAAATTAATTACAAACAATTCCATCCAGAGGGCATAGACAGCATGCTGAGGGGACTTCCCATAATTTATATTTGGAGGACATGGAGCTAATTAACTTAGCATATGGTTAAGAACTAAGAAACATTTAGAAACCTTTCTTTCTAAACAACGATATGATTGGGGTCTTTTGGCGAAACTTGTCATACATCAAAGTCAAGTTAAGAGGCAACATCCTAAAAGAAACCGTGCTTGCCGTAAATGCGACTATGCTTGTCGTAAGAGGCGACTAACGGGATCGGGTGGTCAGACTCGCTGACATGGTTGGTGCATGTCATCGTATTCCAATTGCGTGGATCGATGCTCATGATATCATCCACATGATTGCCGACTCGATTATATTACTGCCGTCATATAGCTGGAATATTGCTGAGTGCAGCGTTAAACAACAGAAAAACCATCCAAAAACAAGGGGTATGGGAATTTTCAGTACACAGTCCTATACTGTACCAGACAGGTGAAATCGTCAGACCTAGGGGATACCGCCTATAGCTAGGGGATACCGCTTTCTTTTTAAGCTGCAAGAGACATTGAGCTTTAATTTGTAAGTCTTATATAAAAATTAGGCAAGTAATTGTCAAAACTGAAAGTGACATGCCTTCTGATAACCTGAACTTCATAATGCTCATGTGGTAGAGCGTCCGCCCGGAGAGCGGAAGGTCCAGGGTTCGATCCCGGGCCGCGTCATACAAAAAGACGTTAAAAGATTGTACTTGTTGTTACCCTGTCTGGCGCTCGGCATTAAGGGACTAAAACAAGGACTGGTCGGCTCGGAGTCAGTATACTGTGTCTGAGTGGGGTATTCATGTTAAACTGCGGCATGGTATCTCAGTGAGCTAGCACTATAAATCGGCATCAGTCCGGACTAGTACAAGCAGCCACACACACACATACACGTGCATGCACGTCGCTATATAAGTGCAATAATCTTGGACGCGACGTTAAACCCAATTTCACCTCACCTCATAATGCTCATATTCTTAACACACGTGATTATACTTACATATGAAAAACATACTTGTATGAAACTCTGCGCTTCAAATTGTATATTCAAGTTGTATACGTGTGATGAGAAATGTGTTTGATGTCTAAGAAACAAAAGTAAAAATATGTGTATATGTGCAGATTATCCTACAACTTTCTCTTTAACAAAACAGTGCATATCCGCAGCTGCTCTTTGATAATATGTGCACCAGACATTTTAATGTTCACCTACTGTAAAGATTACCTTACTATCGCAGCTCAGCGGCACTACAGACTTTGTTGCTATGGCGTTGGAAGGCGTGCATGTGAAATGTGTAAGGGAGGCCATGCAGAACCCCGTCCTAAAGGAGGCTGAGGCTGGTGAAACATCCATTTTCGAAAAGATAACAAAAGACACATGTAGTCATGATTGTAGTGGAAGAGGTTCCTGCAATGACGGTGAGTGATTAGAATCTTACGCCGCTTTTAGCAGTATTCCAGCAATATTAAGACTGGAACACTAACAATGGGCTTCACACGTTGTACCGATGTGGGGGAATCGAACCCTGGGCCTTCGGTGCTCTATACACTAGGCTATCCGAACGCCCAACAATAGTGGTGAGCTCAGCATACATTTACACGTGGATCTTATTTGCTACAAACGCCGTCACTTCGCTGTAATATTGCTGAGTGCGACGTCAAACAAAAAACCCAAAACAACTATTTGCCACATGGATAGAGTGAAGGATTAAATGTCTGTATATGTTCCAATATATTTTCCAATACATGGCGCACAGGAACACAATGCTCTAGTTCATCATATAACCAGCTTATGGTGAGGCTCGGTGATTTCTTGTCAGTGTATCCCAACATCGTGAATCGACTTTCATGATCTCAATCTCTGGATTGTCTGGTCCAGACTCAAGTATTGACAAACTGCCGTCAAATAGCTGGAATATTGAGTGAGGCGTTACACAAAAAGGAACTAAACAAACACAGTTTAAGAACTGATGGATATTTTCAGTTTAATTCAGTTTCGTTCTTAACAGAGAAAGTGATCAAGGCAAAGTTTCGATTTACGGAACGATGCGGTTTTACCCATACAATACTGATAACTTGTTGGTTGTGTATTTTCATCTTGGTGTTCGTTTTTATAATGTTCCGTGTTCATTGTGTGTCATCCAGAATCGTTTCCCATGTTATTATTTCATTTACTGGAACATTGATACGGCTGTGCTATTTTCGATTTGTGTGTAATACACTTTTTCCACGCCTTTCTCTAGGAAAAGATTCTTTGAAAATGTAAACCTTATCGAAACGGCTGATCCGACACAAAGGAGTTGATAGGTGTTACTCACTTGGTAGAACTCATTTATTGAGTGAGTGAGTGAGTGAGTGAGTTGGGTTTGAACAATATTTAGTCAAATCCGTGTCAGCATTATGTGGGGGAAAAACCTGGACTGGTGCCGGTGCTAGACGGTCATCACTTTTGTATGGTGCTGATAAACCTAGAAATGTTATAAGGACGAACCGAGATTCGAACGCCTGTGGAATGCAATTCTGCACAGCGGCTTGGCCATCCATGCCCGAACTGTTTTAGAGTTGCGTAATAGTGTAATAGAGAAAATGACTGTTCGCAAAAACAGTGCTAAAACAATTTAACATAGTTAAAATGCTAAAAAATATTTTTAAAGTGTGTTTAAGTGCGGAATATTTCGCCTGCATACGATCACGTGACAAGGCCACTGACATCATAACGATATCACCTGATGTGTATGCAGTCAGGCTCACATGTCTGAATGAAATAACTTGGGTTATGATGTTGACTTCAACGCCTCAATCCAATTTGATCATCCTGACCCCCAACTCAGGACACTCAGGACATGATGTGTGTGACAGTGGTTCATTTGTTTGTTTCCATTCCATCTTTTTAAAACTAATGGACAGAGGACATGTATTATTTCCAGGACAGTGTCACTGTAACTCTGGCTTTGGCGGAGGGGACTGTTCCGTTGATTTCACCAACCCCCCTGTTCTGATTGATGTTGGCGAGGGAGGTAAATGTGACCTGGCTGCCGGAACGTGTGTGGAAATGGCGGTTTTGGGTGATATCTTTAGTGGAGAAGAATATTCAAAATGCCAAGTAAAGAAATATGTGGTAAGAAGTCACTGGAAATAGAATTTCAAAAGATTTATTCCCAGCATATTAATTATGTTCATAATGCATCGGCCAATAAGACGTTCGTGGTGACTCTCAGTTACATGTTTACATAAACATCTCTTATTAATCTCATAACATGTGGAGTATCAAGGTAAGAGCTGAATCCCAAGCTAGGAAAACCGACTATATGGATCGGGTTGTCAGGCTCGATGACTTGGGTGTTTGCATGTAATCGTATCCTAATTGCGTTGATCGAACATGCGATATGTGATCCAGTTAAACAACAAACATTATGAGGCTAATTATAAAACAGAACGGTGTTTTGCGATAAGTAGAATGTTGCTTATTATTTATAGGGTGCTAACTCACATTTTCTAAAAACTAAAAAGATTAAACGTATATATACATAACAATTGCTTTGCTATTGATCCGAATATTTTATGATTGACTGGCCATGTTATTATTTGAAGGTGACGCGGGATGGAAAAATGCTGACGCCAATTCTTGCAACATCAAAGGCAGTGTTAGAGAGTATTAGCGAGGTGATATGCACTACGCCAGAGCCCGGAGAAAACGATGTTGTCACAGCTTACAACGTGTCAGTGTCTCATGACGGCCATGTCTACAGTAATGAGTTGTCGGTCCTTGTGTACGATTCGACATGTGTCAACGTCAACACAGACACGATGGAATGGAGTCTACAGGTAATGTCGTCCTTTCCAAATTAGACTCATATTTGGCATACTGTCAGATAACAAGAAAAACCAATACATATAAAGCTCATTATTTATAACACGTTATGACATAGAAAAAATAACAAAGACGGTTTGTCTGCGAACTTCTTTGTTAATATACAACCTATGCTTGTCGTAAGAGGCGATTTACGGGATCTGGTGGTCAGGCACGCTGACTTGGTGGATGCATGTCATCGTATCCCGATTGCGTAGATAGATGCTCATGATGTCAATCACTGGATTGTCTGGTGCAGGCTAGAGTATTTACAGACCGCCGTCATATAGCTGGAATATCGCTGAGTCCGGTGTAAAACAACAACAAACAAAACAGTTTTAAAATGTTTTCTTCCTGTTTTGTATTTTTTTCTCACCATCAGGCCAGTTACTGCACACACAAGGGAAAATGTGTCCACGAAGGCGAGCCAAGGGGAGTCGATCTCTGTTTCATATGTAAACGCAACGACAACGGAGGTTACTGGGAAAATACACATAGTAAGCCATTATCATCCGGGAAGTTCATCCTCGAATATACCGTGTTGCAGCCTCTGCTGGTCTGGTTGAATGAGGACCAAGGCGGCGGGGTGTGAGACACCTGTTTATTCCCTCTATGTAGTGTGGCTTGTACATGACACTCTGTAACAACAATAAAATAGGCAATTAGTATTCCTTAACACATCTATCGCATAAATATACAAATCAATTAAACATTGCATATAGGATAATCAAAATCTCATCGTCAGGTCCCTGCATATTTATGTATGATATGCACCATTAGAATTTCATAATAAGTTAATCACGTAAATTAAGTTTCACTCATAAACAAATAACTATATATTACCTACCAGCTGTACATTACTGAAAGTATACAAAACATTTATACAGGTGTATTTGAAATGATAATGATAAATAACAAGCACATACTATTCACATTGTTGATCATGAATACACAACACAGACAACATATATATTTCCTAAACAGCATTTTGTCCAAATTAACTATATTCCTGATTTAATATTACATACCAGATAATAATCATACAGATAAAGCTTACAATATGCATATAGATTGAAATAGTGCACAGCCATTACACTGAAATCTAACACATTGTTTCATGAACCCATTCATAATATTCATGCTAAAAAATCACTAACTCTTTACAATATCACAAATATTAGATTACTATAAGTTATTCAATGCAATCAGTAAGATTAATATACTTTTAGATAATAGACTAAGTTTAGGAAGTAATAATATTAACTGACCTGTGAACTTGTACTGTGGTGTAGTGCTGTGATAGTGACAATGGTCAGTGGTGTTAAGATGGCTGGTGACATAGATATTTAAAATCACCAATCAAGACAAAGAACTAACCTTCAGCTCTTTGATCAACAAAGTAAAACAATTATACTAAAACGGAATAACCTGACTACCCTTAAAACAAGAATGAACTGACCCTATAACCTGATTAAGCTATGAGAGTATTATACCAGAGATAGAGATAGACAGACAACTAATTACGAGACTTGTTGTAAACAAGCAGTGGTCTGTTGAACAACCCTATATCATTTTTAAATTTGAACTTTACACGATATATGGCTTTTCCATTTGACGAGATCTAGGTCGGTCACATGACCACGAAATTGACGTTCATAAGTGTATGAACGACACAATTTGACGTTTTTCACGAGACCGTGTTCTTGAAATGACGTAAACACTGACGGACTACTTCCACATTCCTGGGGAAACCCCTGGGAATTACCTACCACGAATACATACATAAGCGTTCTTTCTGATCATTTAGAACCTTTATTCTTGGTCTCAGCGTTTCAGTATACGTTGAGAAATGTCAGAGAGCGTGACTGCATGATTGTTCACGAATATCCTCGCTACGGCCTATCCTAATGAACAAACGAAGAAATGCACATCTAAACTATCGTAGAATCGACTCGATCCGTGTATCCAGCAATGTATGAATTTACCTTGGTGTCTGTTTGACGCATCTTTATTCACCTGTCAATGATCGGCAAGTTGATCAATGATGACTAACACATGTAACCGCCACAGGTTCATTAACAACTTCGGAAATCTCTCCCGTCACGTTTATCGTGTGGGCTATTTTGACATCTTGTACCTGATGTAAATGTATTACGACGCGCTGTCATTGTGACTGACATACTAAGGTAGTTCTTTACAAACCTTTCTCATCTAATGAGAATATGATTTGAATACATGTGCTGCGTAAGATGTTTCTGAAGAGCAAGTTGTGCATCCACACGCCCATGTCACCTCTCTTTTTGAGGAACTATTTTACTCCGCGATGTAGTTGGTTTTTGTATGGCTGTCAGTGTAAAAATAAAGTCACACGTACTAAATAAAATTGTGTTTAGGTCTTGGCCTACATCCTTTGAGGTAAGAAATTGTGATAAAAAAATTATAAGAATTGACTTTCACTTTGTGTGAGTTCAATGGAGTATGAACCTTCATAGAGTGAGGGCCAAACATTGTATGAACGTCGTCGCAAGCTCCGACACTCATATACAGTTTGGCCCTCACTCTATGAAGGTTCATACTCCAATGAACTCATACAAAGGGAAGGTCAATTCTTAAATACATATATACAACGCATTACAACATGTAATTGGTACAATTGTTAAGAATGGTTGATTTTATCCCTGTTACATATTATTTTAGTATTACGTATTACTCAACACAATCAAAGTAACATTCTATACTTATAACTGTCAACTTCACTGATGCGATTCACGTGCTATCAAAACAGCACAAGAACTTCCGCAGAGTTATCTCCCTTACATCAGTATATGGCTATTGTGGTATACATCCCCTGGAACCATATTCCTCCACTGCGTCGGTGTGGACGTGACGTCACGATCTCAATCTCCCGCATCGCTAACCTTGCACATAATGTCTGTCCCTGAACTCAACAACCATTTAAACTCTACATTCTAAATAGCGGCCTCGTTCGAATGAACCCTCGATATTATTCAAATAAACAATAATTATTAATTCTTATGCGGATCAGAATCAACGTCTTGTTTGAAAAGATGTTTTTCTCATGAGTATTAAGACATTGGAGAGAAGTTCTTATGCTACCAGGCGTACCCAGTTCTACCTGAGTGCTTTATAACACGATACGAGTACGAGTAGCTTAACTTCCCCTGTGAGGACGATCCTGTAGCCAATAATATAATTAATAAATGTAATATAATTGGATGGATATTTTCCAACTGGACTCAAAACGAAGCTTTAGTGCCAGTGGTTCTATGGTATTTATGATATATATATGATACGCTAGATAATCATGTATGCCGGACAGTTAGACTGATAAAATGTACCCCAAGCAAGGGTTACCTTTGGGGAACACCCAACAGCAGCTTCAGCTCACTTTATAACGGCGATATTGCCTTTTATCTGGTTTTGTTATCACTACCAGCGTCATACGACTCTAGCTCAAAAGGTCACAGCATCCAAGGTTTCAGTAAATCTTTCAAAAGGTTTTATGGTCGAAATATTTCCAACTTTGACGCATCAATGAGAAAAATGATGCAATGTCCGATGTTCGGTGCAAATCCCTACTTTTACTTGTACCATATGTACCCGTGTTCCAATTGAACAATTGACTTGTCTTTGCGTGTGTTTGTGATACTCTTACCTTTTCTCCAAAACCCGGTATTTGATGGTGAAAAGGGTTTTTATATACGAATCCCCAAGATTTGATTTCTGAAAACTTGTCTCTAAGACAGTGTATTTTATGTCAAGTTAGATCGATAATGATTATAGATGATAACATCTTTCAGCTAGTTCATATTTGGCTTATATAATAGCCCCCGAATTATGCAACTATCCACATATAAATTATATATTGTAGGTGACGAATGCGTGCCAATCATGGACAATGGCGGAACAACCTGGGGAGGGAAGGTGTCTGTCTTGATGGGGCTTCTTGTTGCCTCAACACCTGTAACAATCCATTACATATAACTTGGAGCCACTCGACTACAGCATTGACGAATATAAGTAACCATATTGTATATTAAGGGTTATACATAATTGCACAAGATCAACTTGGATTACAAGGATCTTGTTCAGCAGCTCACGGCGTCCATCAGGGCTATGTGTGAACATTATATATGCTTTTCTTCTGTGTCTACCTACATGTAACAAAATAAGCCGAAGCAGTGTATTTCACTATTATTGTTTTGTTTATTCCCTTGGATCTTGTTCAGCAGCTGACACTGAGTGGACTGTGTGGACATTATATATTCGTTCCTTCTGTGTCTACCTAACAAATTGATGTATTCTGTTGTCCTTCCAGAGTATATTATTATATCATATATATATATATTAGCATTGTGATAAATCATATGTTATTATGTTTCTAATTCATGATTATGGCTTTAACCTTTGTGTGTTGATAACATTTGATCCAATAAAAGAGCGCACAACTATGATGTCTTCCTCCTAACTCAAGTTCCTAACTTGGTTTATGTATTGGGACGGTCGTATTTTTCATACCTCTCAACTCATAGTTCAGCTTTCTAAATGCACACACTGTCTGTTGCAATAATTGTACAGCATGAAGCATTTGTTAGCATAACATTTGCTCAGGATGGGCTTGTCATAGGTTGGTTTCATTCGTCACAACTCGACCCTTTCCGTAGCCTAGATGACGACTCGTACCCCTATCGAACAATGTTATGTTATCAAACTTTCTATTTAGATATCAAATTGTTTCTTATTACGACTTAAGAGTTATATCTAGTAATGAGTGAATGAGTATGGGTAGTCCGCTTTTATCAATATTCCAGCAATATCACGGCGGTGACACCAGCAGTGGGCCTCACACATTGTACCCATATCGTGCGTCGGAAACGGGTCCTCGGCGTGACGAGCAAACCAAATCTTGTAATGATAAACTTAATATAGTAAACTATTTTACAATATGTTAGAAATCGAAGCTACATATATGAAAGACAAATTTTATATCCACTAAAGTTATCACAGTATTGATATCCTGAGATAATTAAAAGGTATCCCTTTTGACAAGACATTCGAAATGGATGCTTAATTGATCTTTTGTTAACATTTAAGATAACAAAGACATGCAGATGACAGAGGAGACGCAAGTCCATCATTCAGAACGTTGAACATTCTAAATGTGGTACTATTAATAGAAGTCATGGTATTGAAATAAAGCAATGGAAAATGAATGTTATATATTTAAAAATTCTAAATTAGAAATAGGATATTACATATTTGATGTCCAATTTGATGATTTCTTCATTTGAGTGGGCAATTTTCTGGGCAGAGAGGCATCCCTTGGCACGCCAGAAACCTATAGTCGTGGGTAGGGTTGGTGTATTGGCAAATAAATCGTCCTTTAATATCAAGGCGGAGTGCTGTATTTCGATACATATTGTAATGGTGGTATAACTAAACGTCAAAACTAGACAACGCATTATGAAATGAATGAATATCACAACTCGGAATGAAATATTAGCTTCAGAGAACTTATTCTAAACTCTAAGTTCAACAATAAACTGCCATATTGTCTCAAAATGATGTGGATGTTATGATTTTTACTTCATGTTTGTTTTTTCCAGGAAGATCATGACATCCACATGTCTCTGTTTTAGGTTAGCGCGCCAGACTGTTACTATGTCTGTAACCCCGGATCTTCACGGATCCATATTTCAGAATGCACGATCGGTTATGGTAGAATGGAAAAACGCGTCTACCTATTACGTCATCAATATGACTATGTGTTATAGTAAAGAGCGTGAACAGGTCGCTAGAAAACGCTTGACATTGTTGAAGAAAGTGTTGTACATAATGGATATTTTGATTATATTGTCAAATAGCATGGGTGTCGGATGACCTGTACAATATTATTTAAATACTTATGTATGATAAGTGATGAAAATGTTATGGTGTCAGTGGTAGAGCATAATGGCCTACTTTCAAAGAGAAGCATATGCAAATTATGTCAACAGCCTACAAAGGCAGTAAATATAAGAAACACAAAGTTATTTGATCCAGGAATTTTCTAATGGTCAAAAACAGGTATTGTAACTTTTAGAAGAGCCTGAATGGTGTTCAAGGAGAATTTGACACTAGTGAAAGATATTAAGTAGGAAATGTGGCTAGATTTCAAACGTTCAATGATTAATTGTTTGAGGAGCAATTTTCTATTTATGTGCCACCCTTACAAGCGTAAAATATCTGCGAATCCAGTCGTAATTAGATACACAATGACATTACATTACATACACCATAAAATTATACACAATGTATACACGACATAGCATATTAAATATTAAATATCGGCAGCTGACATCCAAAAGGGAGGTAACTCTTGGTGGCTTGTCGGACTGTTAGAACACCTTTTATGCGTCATAGTGTTGCCTTTCAGCATCTTTTGAACCACCGACCAAACTTGAAGGGGATAAATTTGATTACCTAACAATTAATAATCGAGTTGCGTAAACTCTAATCTGCTTAGTTAATCTTTCACAATTGTCAGTACTGTCAGCTTGAGTGAGTGAGTATGGTTTTACGCCGTTTATAGCAATATTCTAACAATATCACGGCGGGGGACACCAGAAATGGGCGTCACACATTGTACCCATGTCGGGAATCGAACCCGGGTCTTCAGCCTTTCACGCCCAATGGAATCTGCATCGAAGAATAATCGAGACTGGTTATTCTCTGGCGTTGACCTTTTCTATATAGGCATTGATTAATATACCTTCCACAATTAATAAATACTCCATGTTACATTTACTAAACAGTCATCCTAAGGTTGTGTCTACTCCATGGGCAACCGACCGAGATATTATGTACGGGATACAAAAAGAATGCAGGTTTCGGATTCAAGAATACAGTTTACAACATTCAATATGGTGCATATATACATATAATCGTCGAAGAGCTCCATCCCATGCCACCTCTGATGGCAATAGTTGATGCGTTTCTATATACTTCGACAACAAATATTTCACCTTTGTTCTTTCATCTTTGTTGTAATTTACCCCCCCCAAAAAAACAAAACAACAACAACACAACCCCCCCCCCAAAAAAAAACAAACAAACAAAACAAAACACAAAAAACAAAACAACAACAACAACAACAACAAAAAACAAAACAAAATAAAACAAAAACGTTTAAGGCTTATCAGAAACATCATATGTGTAGGCACCAGCATCAATAAACTTTGCGTTCATTGGAGCTCTACCTGCAGATGTACATAACAATTTCACTGTTTTGTACATATCAAGAAGTTCATTGAAATTTAATCCCAGTTATTCACAATAACATTCGTAGTCAACAACATGTTCTCTACAGTAGTCCGCTTCTAGTTACAGATTTTGTTTCTACAATGAACTATTGTGTTTTTGTTTTCATATATCGTCAACATTTCTGACACCATATATTGAGAACATGTAACATTTACTGAGGGGTATTTCCATCTGCGGCAAAAAGGAATATTATCTGTATATATCACAACTGGCAGCATAGATTCATCAACAGTTATACCACATTTTTAGATTTTGTCAATTTCAGTCAACAAATCATTTATATACATAGAACACAACATCGTTGACAATCTGCATCCTCGTTTAACAACCGAATCTGTGATAACCTCACAGCTTGAACCCTTTTACCTCGTGTACCAACAGATATGAGCTTGTACCAAAGTGAGTTTCGATCCACTCTGTCAAAAGCATGTTTATAACGAACAAAACAAACATAGGTTGACAGCTTAGAACCTTTCCGATTGTATATGACATTATTTGCAGTGTACAGGTGGTAAATGCAGTTTCTGTACGATAAGAACCAATCAGTCTCCTCTTCAGTGGGTATCTTCCTTGATTCCAACCAATTCTGTATTCTACCATTCAACACAGATGTCTATCCTTTGCACGTTATTGATATAAGGTACCCCTGTATATATAGTACGGGTCGATGGGGGTGTTTTTGTGCTTAATAAGACCCCTCCCCTCTCTGATGGTGCCGTTGGAAGCCACAAGTTTCAGTAATGACGAAGCAGGTGTACACAATGTAGATTACGTAGTACTTCTGTTGATATACCGTCCAGCTTTGTCCTTTTCTTCTACGTCTTCATTACCGCTGATTCTGCTACCAGGAGAGACACCGGACAGTTCAAGCCCGACACATCGCACTGCTGGTTGCCGATTGAACTGTGTTAAACAACAAATTTCCAGATCCCTTACATAATAAACAAATCAAAACCAAACGTAACAGAAAATAGTTCAAGCGAGCACAGATATTTATATGGTAAACGCTTTAAAGTTACCTATTTATTAAATGGGAGAGTAAAATAATTCAGAAAGCAACGTATTTTTTTATTGCAATTCATGTTAAAACGTCAGGCGCGAATGCCGTTCCTGTTTCTTAAAGAGGCAACATCTCAAACTCAAAAGGTCAAAATCATATACACTGGTCCATTGTTGTGGTTTAGATTGATAATTCCTTATTTTTACTATGAAGTACAACATCAATTTAAAAATAGATATGTATCTCAGGTTTTCACTGGAACATAAAACAAATCCCTGATATCTAAACCATATCAGTGTAATTGCGTATCTCCTTTAGAACATACAAAGAAACAAGAAAGTGTATTTGAGCCATTTATATGTTTGCAGTATTAAAACATCAATAAGATACTGCACTGAATTTGGTCAAGTGACAGTCCTCAGACCAGGACCAGTCTTAACGGAAACTTACATATTTCCCATCAACAGTCAGGTTAGCATTTTATAGAAGGAGACACGAAGTATTGTTTGGCTGAGTGCCAAGTTGAAAACATATCATTAAGAGCTCCAACATAGCATGGGAAGAATTCTAACCTTCCGCCTTCTTTAGTGTGTCCGCCAGTTTGGAGTACGGCAACTACAGTTATCATTCTCACTGGTCCTGGTGTGGTCATTTCGTATTCTTAATGTTTGGAAAGAGTTTTAACCAACTCTAAAGAATAACTGTTTCAATGGCATGCACGTCGTTTCTCCTCGTCACTTTGCTAGGCGAGAATTAAACCAACCACAGTAGCGCACATCAGTCAACTCATTTTACCAAGGTCGTTGAGTGGGTCCAAATGTAGCTCTGACCTCACATTGAATCTGAAAGTAGAGATTGGAAAAGAATTGCGTTGTGGGTCTCAATATGTATCGAACCTCAATCAGAAAATATATACCAGCCAACGGCTTGCGCACACTAAATCACCAAGACTATAATTTTGGGCGGCACCTTGTGTGCGTGTAGTGTGCTTTTGACAATACAACCTTATCAGGCGATATGTGAATTAACGGAGCCTGGTGCACAATCCACAGGTTAATGTGGTGATAGGTGACAGGGTGTTAACCATCTACGTCCACAATGGTTCGAAATATTAACACTACAAAGTGTCTGTGTCTGCATTCTACTGTA